CTGTGATGTGTATTTGTAAACATCCAATCATGCCTGATTGTGAATTTGGTGTCAGGCCCCTCCCTGCAGTGTCAGTAAAATGTGTGTTTTAATGCAACAATTCCAACTATATAATATATCAGATTTTGTATTTTTAGTACTGTTAAGTTTTCATTTTAATGGTTTGTTCTTTGGTATTCCTCAACCCATATGTATATATTTGCCACCTTATAAATCCATTTCATGAATCATTTGGAGTAGCTGTTGCCTGTAAAACATTATGTTGCAATAAAATAAACCAATGAATCTTTGAATTGCCAAAAAAGTTGTTTTAGTGCTCCATGGCTGTTTCAGAAGTGTGTTTTCAATAATTAGTGGGGAGGGGGGAAACTACCCAATATCACACCTTTGTACACATTTTATCTTATTAAAAAAATCAATGGACATCAAAAACAAAAAACTAATTTTATTGAAAGTTTTAATTGTTTTTTTTTTAATTTAACAATGAATGGGGGAAAGGAGAGGGAATCCAAGATGGCCAGTTGGGAAACAATTGGAGCAAAGATGTTTAAGAACATTCTTTTTTTTTAATAAATATTTTTATTGAGTTTTATAAAGGTAATAAAGGGATAGGGTCAAAAAGGATAAGACAAAGGAAAACATACAAAAAGGTTAGACCAGGGGAAAGGGGTAACACAAAAGTGGGATTAGTCCCACAAAATAACATCACTTCAGCAAGTCTACCAGTCCGGGTTTACAAATTAAATCTTAATAATTACTCTATTATTAAACAATTTTCCATAAAATCATGCAAATAACAAATTAGTCAATAAATCTCATTCATTTCACTATTTAACAATGCTTAGTATTAATTATAATCACTTTAAAATAATAATATATTACATATTAATTATAGTTTACCATATTGTTTAAGATCACAAATATACCAAGAGGAAGAAGAAAAAGAACAAGTTCATACAAATAATCATGGAATATAAATACAAATTATCAATTATCTTTTTAAATTTCATAACGTTTTCTCATTCTAGCGTGTTTCTAACCAATAATAAAAATTTTCCCCATGTTTTAAAATAAATTGTCTTTTCTCTTTCATTTCTAAAGTCAATCTGTCCATTTCTGCATAGCAAAGGTGTTTAAGAACATTCTTTTTTAAAAACAAGACAAAACTTTGAATTCAACAACCTTTAAAAGGATTTGCTTCTGCAGTAAGAGCACCAGCAATATAACATGTTGATATATTTATTTTCCTGTATATTTTATCATATTTATTATTTTCTTCACATTGAGGAGAAACCCATTTGGAGAACAGTGTGCAAGTGTGGTGGAAACATTACTCTCTAGGCCAGACATGTCAAACTCGCGATGTCATGTGATGTCGTATGACGTATCAGAGCTTTTTCTCCATTGCTGGCAAAGGGGTGGGCGCAGTTTGCTGGTGACATGTCCGGCCTGCAGGCCAACAGTTTGACATCCCTGCTCTAGGCCAGGGTTTTTAAACCAGTGGTACGGGTACCACCTGTGGTACATTGGCACCTGGCAGGTGGTACGCGACCATCCTAGAAAAGTAGTGGGGAAGGGGAATGAGCTGAAGCGGTGGCAGCACCGCACAAACCTGAGCAAGAGATGGTGGAACTGCAGGACTGTCAGGGCTCAGCGGAAGTGCCAGGATCAGTGCCAGACTCCAGATGGAGCTCGGCACTGATCCTGGCGCTTCTGCTAAGCCGAGAAGAATGTTGCAGCCTCTCCAGGGTCTTGTGATTTACATTCAGATGCTCGGCAACTGATTCATATTTATGACGGTCACAGTGTCACAGGGTCTTGTGAAGTGACCAAAACCTGCTGCAACCACCCAGCAGACGGGGAATAAAAACCAAACACCCCCCCCCATAGGCAGGCAGGCATCTTGCTCAGCTGTGGCTTGGGGGCACAGTGCCATTGTAACTTCGAACAGTCACTAAGCAAACTGTTGTAAGTCAAGGACTACCTGTACTATATCACTTTTTTCCTTTTTGTTTTTTTTGGTCATCACGTTTTTGACACCTTGCTAGGCGACTGGTGGTACTCGGATGTTGCCATATCCTAAAAGTGGTACAATGGGTGAAAAGGTTGAAAAGCCCTGCTCTAGGCCATATAAAAACAATGACAACCAGCCTGTATCTACTATATATTCTACCGAAATATAAAGCCTTTTAGAATATCAACAAGCACTGGTCCTTTATTTCTATATCAAACACTGGAAATTAATCAACTCCTAATTATGAATAATAGGATTAGGCTGTTATTTACATTGATAAGAGCCAGTTTGGTCTAGTGCACAGGTTAGCAACCTGCGGCTCCAGAGCTGCATGCGACTCTTTGAGCCTTTTCCTGCGGCTCCCAGCCTCCTCTGCCATTTGCAGAGAGACACAGAGACACACAGAGAGAGACACTTGCGCTTCCCTTCTCTCTCTCTCTCTCTCTCTCTCTCTCTCTCTCTCTCTCTCTCTGTGTGTGTGTGTAAAAAAGAGTGGCTTCACCATGTTCTCCAACGAGCTGACAAGCTTATTGGGCGGGGCTCCTGCCTTGGCTGCCTCTCTGCAGGAAGCAGGAAGATGAGGAGAGAGCCAGCTCATGTTGTCAGCTTCTTGGAGAATAGCTTGAAGCCAGCTTGCCAGGTGAACAGAAGATCGGAGAGAGGGAGAGACGGGGGGGGGAGAAAGAGAGAGAGAGGAAGAAAAAGGAAAGAGAGGAAAAAGAGGGAGAGAGAGAAAAAGAGAGAAAGAGGGGAGGAGAGGAAAGAGGGAGAGAAAGGGAGAGAGTGAAAGAGGGAGAGAGAAAGAGGGCGAGAGGAAAGGGAGAGAGGGAAAGAGGAAAGAGAGAGAGAGGAGAGAGAGAGAGAACTCATGCACAGCAGCCTCTATTTCTTTTTAATTAAAGTCTTCAGTCAAGCTCCCTTCCCCCTTGTGCCTGCATGCATGTGCGCGCACAAGTTTTGCGGCTCCCAGTGTTTTCTTTTCTCTGGGAAACGGGTCCAAGTAGCTCTTTGTGTGTTTAAGGTTGCAGACCCCTGGTCTAGTGGTTAAGCATCAGGCTAGAAACCAGGAATCTGTTGGCATGAAAGTTGGCTGGTGTCTTTGGCCCAGTCACACACACAATCCAACCCATCCTCAGTCTGGTTGGGAAAATAGGGATATTAGGTATGCTTGCTATCTTCTATTCTGCCTCATAATAAAGGCAGAATAAAAATAGATAACATTTATATAGTTCCCTACTACTGTCCCTATTAAACATTAATGGTAGTAGCTGATCTGTGATCAACTTTTGATCACAGATCAAGAAGTTGGGATCAGAATTTTCATTGCATTGTGCTCCATTTTATAATTGTTTTTGCCGCAGTTGTGAAGTGAAAAATCCTGCTCCCCATTGACTTTGCTAGTAAGAAGTCACAAATGGTGACTCTATGTCCTTAGGATGCTGCAACTGTCATAGATGCATTGCCAAGTACTCCAATTTTGTTCACATGACTGTGAGAATGCTGTAACAGTCATAAGTCACTTTTTTCTTTAAAAAAGTTTTTTTATTTTTTATTTTTTCCATACATTCAATAGTATTTGTTCAACAAACGTGCTGTCTGAGTTAACATATGCTAATACATATTTATGTTCCTAATCTTTTATTCTTTCTAGTCATCGATAAAATAAGTCACAGGTTTGATAATATTTCATTATTTCTTTTTCTTTCAGTCTCAGAGTCTACCCATCTCTGCGCAATTCTAATATTTTTTTAATTATTTCTTCATCTGATGGTATTTCCTTCATTTTTCCAATACTGCGCCACTCTTGTAACATGCAAAGTCAAATATATGCTTTGTTTACCAGTCTTTTCTGGCATTATACTTAATAAAAAAAGTTCAGATTTAAAATCTAGGTGTTCTCCCAACATCTTTTCTAGCTAGGCATGTATTTTTTTCCAATAACTTTGCTTTGGCACATGTCCACCAAACATGGTAATAAGTGCCTGCATAAGTCACTTTTTTCAATGCTTTTGTATCTTCAATTGCTAAACTAACAGTTGTTAAGTCAAAGATTACCCATACCACAGAAAATATTCAGATGTATAACATATAGTCCACTTAAAAATGATTTCTAAAAGTAGTTGACACATTTCAACTTTGACTATACTTGTATGAATTAGGTGTTACCATAGTGCTGCCTTTTAATGCATTTAACTTTGCAAGCATTTTATTTTAACAAAGTTCTCATTGCAGTGAAAGAGATATTTGAAAGAAATTTGCAAATCACTGTGAATATACTAAAATGTTTCAGAAATAGCATTTTATAAATTAGTCTAATAGAACTGCCAAGGTCCACTGAGACTCCAGATAGTTAAAATGCTATTTTGCATTACAGGCCAGATCTGGTAAAGCCACACAAATTACTGTCCTAGAATATCAGATTTACAAAGATGTTCTGTTGTGTAGTTCATGCTGCATTATGGTCACCATAAGATATAATAAAAACCTGCTTAAGTAGTTTGTGCTAATTACTCAAATTTGTGAATTGATTCGATACACAAAAAATTACACAGGATCGATTGACGCCGTTTACATGGGTTCGATAATGCCAAGGAAAAAGTCTGACGTTTGAGTCTTAAATTAATTTAGAATCCATAGGAGTCTATAGATTAATATCAATTCAGCCTTTTTAAATTTGCTGGTTCCCGAAGGAGTTGCACTTCAACTCTCATAATCCCCAACTTTACAGCACGATAAACTCTTTTTAATTCCTCCGCCCATTTGACTAGATTAGGCTAGATTAGATTAATCCCTTGTTTTAGTGGCACCAGTTGCCGCAACCAGTAAAGGAAAGGCTGACAGAGCAGAGGAAAACAATAACGGGCGGGAGAAACCTCCGTCTCAAGCGCAACGAAGCCCAACAAGCTTAAGCCCCGCTTCCTTCCTAGTAGGATCTCCAGCAGCAGAGCTGAGGAGGGGGAGGAGGCGGTGCCTTTTCCGGAGCTGCGTGCGCAGCCATCCGCGCTTGCAGCGTCATCCTGAGGGGCCGGTTTGAATAAGACCCCGAGGGAGGGAGGCAGGCAGGCAGGGAAGTGCCGCGCTGCTACAGCTCCGTCTTCTGTCTTTAGCTAGCTCATTGCCTTGCTTGCTTAACTCGCCAGCCATGCCGCTTTTCACAGGTGAGTCTGCCCAGCCGACTCTCGCGATTGCGGGACTCATCCCCGCGGTTTGCCTCTCGGGGGCCTAGCCCGGCTTCAACACTTGGGCCTGAAGCTCGAGGTCTTTGCGCTCTCCTGCCCTTCGCTGAGGCAGGAACTGGCGGTGGGGAAGGAACGAGTTCGCGCGACCGGATCCCCCCCCCCTCCTGTACGGCTGGAGAAGGGCTGTGCCAAAGGAAGACCGGGGTAGACGGCGTGCTTTCGTGCCGCCCTGTCAAGTAAAGATTGCCTTGATGGTGAAAACATTGACTGGAAGGAAGGGCATGGAGAAAATAAATCTGCCCAAGGGGTGGTTGGTTGCGTATGTAAAGGCTCACTCTGGCGTCGCAACATTGCAAGCAGGCCTTGATTTACCTGAGTGATTTTGAAGAGTAGTACTTGCCCATATTAGAACCCGGATTTTCTTTGGAGCAAACCTGCAATGTGGAACTTGAACAGAGTAATTTTTTTTATTTTTTCATGCTTACAATTATGAGTGCATGTGAAGATTAGCAAGAATCATATATTTAACAAAATAGGGTGAGAAAAAACTTAAGTACTTCTGTCATTCAACTGTTTCAGGGATTTGAGGCTCTTGCCGTTCTCATATGTTGGTGCTTTTGTATTGTAAAATAACATTGGGATCTAATGCATTTGTTATTCTCAAACTACAGGTAGGCCTTGACTTATAGCCATTTGTTTAGTAGCCATTTGAAGTTACAATGACATTGAAAAAAAGTGACTTATGACCATTTTTCACATTAGGACCGTTGCAGAATCCCCATGGTCACATGATCAAAATTCAGATGCTTGGTAGCTGATTTATATTCATGATGGTTGCAGTGTCCCAGGTTCATGTGATCAGCTTTTGAGACCTTTTGACAAGTAAAGTCAATGATGAAACCATGTTCACTTAACAACTGTGGCAAGAAAGGTTGTAAAATGGGGTAAACTTAACAGCTGTCTTACTTAGCAACAGAAACTTCTGGCTCAATTGTAGTCGTACGTTGAGGACTACCTGTAGATTCCAATCCTCTAACTTTTGTATTACTGAGTAGTATGTTAGCAGGCATAATAAGCAACATAGTTCCCTAGACAAAGAAGAGTGTAAAGTTAGGGAAGGCTTTTTTAGAGAATTAATACTGCAATACCCTGCAATGAATGTTACCACCTATAGGGAAGAGAAGCAAGCAATCATATTTCAAAACTGATTTTTAAAAGATCAAATAGGTCATGGAACAGAATAGTTCAGTTAATACAGAGTGTGGATTTCCCACAGAATTATGTTGGATGAGAAGCATAAAAAAAAGGGGGGAAGGGGATTGTATTCATTCCATATTATTTCAACTCCTATATAGCCAAATGTTACCCATATAGAAGTAATGTAGGAATAACGTGTGATACATGCTTCCTTAGACATTGGTGTTATCAGTTTTAGCAATATGTTGTATGAATGTAACTTGGTATTTCAATAAAGATTCCTCTTGTTACAAGTTGCAGAATATTCATGTCTGTTGACAGTACAGCCAGTTGGGAGTATAGCCAAAACAGGTATAATTTGTAGGAAAGACATTCTTAATATAAGTTTGTATGACTTTAATTTTTATAATTTAAATGTCTAATCATTGCTGCCAAATCAGGAGCCATAATTATGTCTAATTTTCAGTACTAATTTTATAGTGTTGGTGTTACACCTCAAATCTTTGTTTTTCAGTTAATGTAAAATGGGGCAAAGAAAAATTCGATGGAGTGGAGCTGAATACAGATGAGCCTCCAATGGTATTCAAAGCACAGCTTTTTGCTTTGACTGGCGTTCAACCTGACAGACAAAAAGTGATGGTGAAAGGTGGAACTTTAAAGGTAGAGTTGGATATTTTATCATATACAACTTGCTGTCGTATGTTTTACACATTTAGTGTATTGAAGCAATAATGATCATATTGGCATTCTGAAAGAATTTATGAATTAAACAATAACAAATTATTTTTGTATATTTTCTGGCTTTTGCTATGAGATCTAAATACCTTTGTTGATTTTGTCTTTAGCTGTTGATGTATTTGTTGAATCTGTTCAGTCATCTTACTATTATTACGAAAAGTTTACATTTATTTTCTTTCTTTCAAATAGGATGATGATTGGGGTAATATCAAAATAAAAAGTGTAAGTATTAGATATTTATAATGGTTTGGATGTTTTCTATACCTAACAGCTTCATAGGGCAGGATTTATCACTTCTCTGGTTTCAGTGATGCAAAGTATGATGTGAATGGGAATGTGGAAGAGTAGAAGGAGGATTCAGATAACACCTTACTTTTTAAAATCTAAGTCTATAGCTATAAAGAGTTAAATACTGCTTTTAGTATTATAACATCTTTAAATGTATTTAACATCTTTTCGGAGACAAATGAAATAAAAAATGTGAACCCGAATGTGATTGCTGATATAATTTAATTTTTATAGTAGGTGAACTAGAACATGGGTGTCAAACTCACCGCGTCATATGATGTGTCACGATGTATCATGATTTTTTTTGCATTGCCAGAGCTGGGGTGGGGCAGCCTCCGCATGATACAACCAGCCCATGGGCTGGCAGTTTGACACCCCTGTACTAGAAAAAAGAGGAATAACTTTTCAGCAAGTTAAGAGTATAGTACAGTGATGGCGAACCTTTTAGAGACCGAGTTTTGCAACCCAAAACCCACTTATGCATCGTTGGGTGCCAGGTGAGTGTGGCCCATTGGGTGGGTGTGGCCAATTGGGTGGGCGTGGCCCATCGGGTGGGCGTGGCTGCGGTGGTAAAAGCAGACTGGGTGGGACTAAAAAGTTCAATCAATCCCAACTTTGCAAGATCTTTTTTTTTTTTCCCACGAGAAGTTGAAATTGACTGATTGATTGAATCTTTTTTTTTGTACACGGTGGCGGAGGCCTACTGAAAAGGTTTTATAAAAACCAGCTGAAGGCCTAGGACTGGGGCAACGGCGCGTATGCCCACAGAGAGGGCTCTGAGTGCCACTTCTGGCACCCATGCCATAGGTTCGCCACCACTGGTATAGTAAATACTTTGGTTCCTTAAGGAACAGAATGATATATATTAGTGGTTTACACTTTTTTTCAAAAGGCAATAAAATAACCATAATTTAAATTTGTATATGTCGCAATACTCTTTAACATAAAGAATCAAAATTGCTTTTGAGCTTATATATTAAAACTAACTTCCTTAAGACTAATGTATGTAATTGTATTTAATTTTTTAAAGCATCTGCTGATAAATCTATTGCACCTTTTCAATAGGGGATGACCTTATTAATGATGGGCTCTGCTGATGCTCTTCCTGAAGAACCAGTAGCCCGGCCTGTTTTTGTTGAAGATATGACAGAAGAACAGTTAGCCTCGGCAGTAAGCCTAATCTTCTCATTATGCTCATGATTTTGAGTGTTGAAATATGCATGACCTCAAATTTAATGAGTATTAATATATACAGTAGAGATCCACTTTGGGGTAGTTGTTTAAGTATCAGGCCAGAAACAGTGAGACTATAAGTTTTCTAGTCTTAATCTGGGCATGAAGGCACTGGGTGATCTTGGGCCAGTCACTTTCTCTCAACTCTAAAAAGGAGCAGTGGCAAACCACTTCTCAGAAACCTTGCCAAGAAAACTGCAGGGACATGTACAGGCAGTCTATGAGAATTGGACATGATTGGGAAAAAAAATCTATATTATAAACATCTTTAGTTTTCAAACCAAGAAACGGGGGTTCTGAACTGAAACACATTTTTCTCAAACAATGCCTCTCTGCTTTTTCTGAGTGAGCTGAATTTCTTTGATAGGTGATGGTTGCTCTCTGTGTTTAAATCATTGCTATTTGATGAATGTAAGCCATTGTATTAGTAACTCTTCTGATTTTTACTAAGGGGCTTATTTTATGCAAAAACTAACTTTTTTGGGGGGGGGGGAGAAGAGTATTCTCATTCTCTATTTATAGTTCCTGCTCAGAGAGCAGCTACAGCTACGAAGACCTTCCCAATCTTCAATTGATGTGCCAGTTGTACATTTTTCTAGATTGGAAGGCCCTACAGTCACTCATACCCTGGTTACTTTACAGCTTATTACTGCAGCATTCTCCAACAGCTTCAATTGTCCCAAATGCAGTAATGATCATGTCTCTGTATACCCACCTAACTTCCCTGCTTTGCTAGCTACATCAGTTTGCTTTCAGGTGAAATTCAAGATGCTAGTTGTTTCTTATAAAGCCCTACATAGCACTGAACCTAGTTGCTTGTGGGACCATTTATCTTCCATAGTATTTGCCTGCTTGATTTTATCCAAAGGAGTTGGCACACTCTGGGTTTCTTTGAATAAACATTGCTAGTTATTGGATTTGAAAATGCCCTTTCTCTGTGTTTCATTAGGGTTAACTTTCTTGGCATTTAGCAGGACCAAGCCTTTTGCCCAGGTTTTTGGCTAAGGCTTTGCTTTTTGTTCATTTGTTTTTATTGGTTTTTATTGTTATGTGGTTTTATTATTTTTCCTGGTTTTTTTGTGAACTGCCCAGAATCTTTGGGAAGTGGGAGGTGTACACACACACACACACACACACACACACACACACACACTGCCTAGTAATTTTAATTTTCTGTTTTGAAATATAACAATTTAAAATTGATAAACAAAAGAACAGCTGGCTAACCAAATATTAAAAATTCTGAAAAAATAAAGTATTCTTTCTCTTTTTCAAAAAGGGATTAATATAGATTCCAGCTACAGTGAACAGGCGGCTTAATTCTGGAAAACATGCTCTTTCAGATATTTCTGAATAGTCTTCAAAGTATGTTGCAGTCAGCTGGCATCCAAATTAAATAAATAAAATAATAGTCCAAATGAGATGCAACTAAGAACAGATATCATTGTGGCCAAATGTAGCATTTGGGGGAACTGGCCCAAATATCTTATATAAAAAATGAGATGTCATTTTTTAAAAAAACATTTCTAAAAATACAATATTTAGTATAAAGCAAATATTTTTAATATTTCTGTGACAGATGGAATTACCGTGTGGCTTAACAAATCTTGGGAATACTTGTTATATGAATGCTACAGTTCAGTGTATTCGCTCTGTGCCAGAATTGAAAGAAGCTCTTAAGAGGTAGGTTTTATAACTACAAATAGAATGCTGATAATTTTATTCATTTTTTAAAAAATGAAGTAATATGAATTGTAACTAGTAGTATTTTTAATAGAAAAGGGAAGCTAGAATAAGTTTAAGTAGTAAACTTTATTTTTAATTTTAGATTTCAAATGAAAAACTGAAATATATAATTCAAATTTTTGGGTAGAACTATAATAGGAATCCAGTGTGTGTTGAAATCTATTCTGCAAGTGGAATTGAGAGTTCTGTATTAAAGAGTTATTTAGAAAAATGCTTTTTGTTCCTGCACTATTTATTTCATAAAGTTTTAACATCTTATTTTGATTAGTGACCAGAGTTGATCAGTTTCAAGAAGTATTGATACCATATTTTAAATATCATTGCTGCAGACTGTAGTACACTGAAAAGTGAAGATACTAAAGTATTAGCAAAATTTATCTGGCATATACTTAAAATTGCTTTTTCATGCTTAATGTTACTTTTTCTGTTTCCACTCAGTAAATTCTACAAGAATTGTTTTTGTTTATTAAGTTTATATACCACCATCTCATTCTACAAAGTCTCTCTGGGCACAACTCTGGTTAACTATGATAGCATCTTTAAAATATAGGACTATCAAGGATTATGTATGTAAAAGGGAGATTTTAGAGGTGATCTCACTTTAAAGCATTTTAGATGGATGAAGTGTTTGGTTAAGCAACCTTTTATGGAATAAATTATCCTTGAAGTTCATGATTTACATCCAAAAATGCTTCTAAAGAGGCAGAGCATGTTTTTGCTCACACAATTGGCCTCCCCAATTTCTACCTTTTCTGTCCTTACGTTGCTTCCCCATACACATTTAGATTGTTTCAGAGGATTCCCTGACCTTTAGAGGCAGCTTTTTAGGAGCTACAATGGGCTGCAATGGAAAGGGGAAAAAAGAAAGCCCTCTTTTTTGAGTGCAATTTAGATGTAAGCTACTGGCTCTTTGTTTCATGTTTCATATATATTTACAAATTATCATGAAATGTTTATTTATTTATTTATTTGTATCCCACCTTTATTATTTCTTTTAGAAGTAAATCATGGAGGTGATCATATCCAGCACACCATCCTCTTCCTATTTTGCCCACAATAACCCTGTGAGGTTGTTTGGGCTGAGAGAGAGTGACTGGCCCAAGGTCACTCAGCCAGTTTTACTGGCTAAGGAGGGACTAGAACTCACGGTCTCCTGCTTTCTAGCCTGGTGCTTTAACCACTAGACCAAACTGACTCTAAACATAATAAATATAGTAAAATATACATAATAGAAGCAGTTGAATATGTCAACCAACAGTAAAGCTAATTTTTAAGAAACTATCAGTAAAATTAAGAGTTGTTTCATCTGGAGAAGTTACTGGTTATTTGGCTGCTAGAGTTACTGGAGAAGGCAGTGGAATAAGATATAGGATTGGGTAAATAGGTAAGGAATTTCCTCCTCATTTTCCAAATAGAACTTTTTCTTTAAAATTCTGGTACTGGGACAATCTAAATAGCTGAACAGGATTATATTGAAACACACTTCTTCAAAATCAAATGGTTAAATATCAAATGCCTACAAGATAGTATCATTTGGATATATTTAATTATAAATTAGATTTGATTATGGAGGGAGGACAAGCCAATCAGTGGCTACTAATACTGTATATAGCATATATTTGCTTTAATAAAGAAGTCAGAAGGTTTATTTCAGTTGCTGGGAATATGAGTGAGATATCGCTATTACAGCCATTTCTACCTCATGAGCTGTCTATGACATATTGTTGGCTTCTGCAGGAACAGAATAGAATTGGCAGCAGAGGTGGTTTTGGTTCGATCTATACAACTAGTCTGATGTGTTCATTTGATGCAAAGTAGTGAGAAGCATGCAAGGCTTTTTAGTTGCAACCAGATTTCAACTCACATATTCCTTCTTTTAGAGGTAGTCCTTGACTTATGACCACAATTTAGTCCAGCACTTTGAGACAGTTGTTAATGAGTTTTACCCCATTTTATGACCTTTCTTGCTACAGTTGTTAAGTGAATCACTGCAGTTGTTAAGTTAGTAACATGGTTGTAAAGTGAATCTGGCTTCCCTATTGACTGCTTGTCAGAAGGTCACAAAGGTGATCACATGACTCTGGGACACTGCAAGTATCATAAATATGAACTAGTTGCCAAGTGTCCAAATTTTGATCACATGATCATGGGGATGCTGCAGTGGTCATAAGTGTGAAAAGTTGTCATAAATCTCCTTTTTCAGTGCTGTTGTAACTTTGAACAGTCACTAAATGAAAAGTTGTAAGTTGAGGACTATCTTTACTTGGTTATAATAAATGAATGGTTGAACTATTAAAAGAATGCTAACAATGGTTGAATGTGTCAATCCTTATATGAAGGCATGATGTACAGTTGGTGCAAAAAATTGGGCATACCTGGTCAATCGTATCTTTCAGTAAAACCTTAAAACAGGGGTCTTCAAACTTGGCAACTTTAAAACTTGTGGACTTCAACTCCCAGAATTCCTCAGCCAGACCTGGCTGGCTGAGGAATTCTGGGAGTTGAAGTCCACAAGTCTTAAAGTTGCCAAGTTTGAAGACCCCTGCCTTAAAACAACTAAAGCTAATACAACCTCTACATGTTTCAAACTTAATATATCTTTCTCCAAATCTGAATATGCACTTTCTATTTATATGTATCTAAAGTGTGCATTCAGTTATGATGGTAACCAGCCTATCTAAGGCTTCCAAAATGTAAGAATTCCAAATCTTGATTTTGTAATTACAACTTACAACTTTCTTAGTTATGGTCGAAATCTCACAGATGAATCTCAGTTTCCAGATAAGAGCCATTTTAACTTTCTAGATTATATTGATTCAAGGGCCAATCTAACTATATTTTTAAAACATTTTTAGGTATGCTGGTGCCTTAAGAGCTTCAGGGGAAATGGCCTCTGCTCAGTATATTACTGCAGGTTGGTATTTCAAGAGCAAAGCAGAGTTTTCTGATATAATTTAGCTACCCCAGATAAAACGTCCAGTATACTGCTCAGAAGATATTTTTGTTTTTTTCCTAGCACAATTTAAAGTATTTTATAGATTTTGAGTTTTAGTTACCACTTTTTGAATTGTAGCCAAATATTAATCACTTAAAAAAATCCTTTTGACATTTGCAGCTTTTTAAAATCCAGAAATACTTGAAACATTGGAAAATGAATGCTACTTGTTTACTTTATTACTGTCATGGTTCCAATTAACATTGGATGTTTTGCTTTGACAATTGCCCTTGATCAGGATATTATGATTTATTCCATTTCATTTAAGAAAAAAAACAAATCAAGAACAATCAACTATTGAATATGCTGTTATCAGATTTTGAGACGGTATGTTCATTGGCTACTCTGTAGAATTGCTTACGTTTCTCCTTATCTGGCACCGCTCTAGCTAGATCTCTTGAATGGATGCAGAATATTTGATTAGTTGGTTTATTAGGTTAATCTTGCCCAATCTGTTCGTTCATTCTTTCAGTGTTCTGTTAATGTGCAGGGAAACGTTGTTTTATTTGTCAAGTTGTTGAAATCTTGCTACATTACTATGCAACATTCAGCACAGTTAAAGTTGCATGTACAGAACTTATTATTAGATGATGGGCTGAAGGTAATTGCTAACAAGGGAATATACATACATTTGTTTTGTTGTGGCCTTATGCTAGGTTAGATAAAAACTAAGTCAGATATGTGATGATAATTAACTTTCTATATTAGTTTTACAGTACATGTAGTCCTTGACTTAACAACCGGTCACTTAGCGACTGTAGTTACAGCAAACCTTGAAAAGAGACTCTTTTATGTTTGCTTTATGACTGCCATATTCACTTGACCACTGCAAAAAAGATTGTAAAATTGTAAAGCATGATGACCTGCTTTATAACCATCACTACTTAACAACCACAATTGCAGGCTTAATTATAATCTTAAAGTGAAGACTACCTGTACATGGTTATTAGCCTATTGATTGCCTTTTGTTTCACTAGAGTCTCACTTTGAAAGTAGATTGACATGACTCATTTTTGTAATGTACAGTTGAAGCTGCACCAGTAATATGCAGTTATAATTTAGGATTAAATGACTTACATAAAATAAATGGCTAAGACAGGAGTAGGCAACCTTGGCTCTTTTATGACTCGTGACTCAGGAATTCTGGGAGTTGAAGTCCACGACTCATAAAAGAGCCAAGGTCTAAGATAAGCAACAACTGTTCAAATTTGCAATGATACTGAATAAGAAGGATTTATACCGTTCCCTGTTGTCATATGATCATAATTTCTGATGTTCCCTGCTGGCTTTCCACAAGCAAAGTCATTGGGAAAGCCAGTGGGAATTTGGAAGTTGAAATCACTGGAGGTCCTTGCTTAATGGCTTAATGGTGCTCACTTAATGACAACAACCAGGACCACCACAATTAATATTGCTAAGCGACATGGTCATGTGACATTTTTTTTATGAATGCATTGCTTATCAACAGCAGTTTCTACCCCAAAAGCTGTTCTAACCTATATAAAACGTTTACATACAATAATATAGATTGTTTCACTTGCATGATATAATCAATTGTACAATATTTCTTAAATAGACTGACCGTGCATTTATATATTTAAATAGTCTTTTGCTACAAAATATAATTGTATTATGTATGACATAAAGAGTTTGCATTTGAGGAATATGCTGCATATATTATATTACTTTGCATTTATTGTTTTTTATTTTATTTTTAAGCTTTAAGAGATTTATTTGATTCTATGGACAAAACTTCCTCCAGTATCCCTCCCATCATTCTTCTCCAATTTTTACATATGGCCTTTCCTCAGTTTGCAGAAAAAGGAGATCAAGGCCAATATCTTCAACAGGTAGATACTTTTAAATTTCTTTTCTGAAGGCTACATATTTTATGTAAAAATGTATCATTTCCATATTGGTAATTAATAACTATATTTGTATGATTCCTCAGCAGCTTCTAGTCCTGGCTGCTGAAGAAAACATTTTAGAATAAAGTAAGAAAGTGTTTTTCATTTGTGTACATATGCACCTGTGTGCACAAACGTGTTTGTGTTTTTATATGATGTGTATATGATATATTTTTGTTGGATTCCAGTGATCTAGTTTTATCTTTGTCTTTTTCCTTAGGATGCCAATGAATGCTGGGTACAGATGATGCGAGTACTGCAGCAAAAGTTAGAAGGTATAGAAGGTGATGCAGTAATGGAAGTAAGTATTTCTTGTATGGAAATAACTGAGACTAACTCTGGGCTATACCTGAATTTGTATAGTCAATAATATTGGCAATATTTAACAGGAATAAAAATATGATTTGATTGCAGGTAAGTTGTTGAAAATGCCTAAAACAGGAGTTAATCTTTTTATTCCATGGACCTTTTTGAGAATCTGTGAAACCTGTGGATCTCTTCTCTGAAAAAATATATTTAAATTCATAAAAGAAAATCACATCCAGTCACATGATGCCTCAATTTAACAACTACAACAATTTATTAGGGCCAATTCTGGTAATAAGTTGAGGACTATCTATACTATAAAGAAAATTGTTATGCTCAAATAGGGTTATCGAAACATAAAATAACAGTTATGGCCACCCATTTTAAATACATTTAACAGTCAGTATACAAACAATATAAAAACATCCAACTAAAATTAAAAATAATCCAGTTCCAAGAAATAAAACTGAGGTAACTGCCTAACTTAGAGTCTAGTTCCAAGCATATCAAACCAAATTTGTCTAACAAATGCCTGGAAGAGTCCTTTTGGCAAGCTTACAAGAGTTACTTCAACTCCTTCACAAGAAGGAATCTGGTTAAATAAACAGGGCCATCAGTCACCTACCTGATTTACTTGCAAGTCTTAACCTGTTTTTAAAGGTATGTTTTTCTCAGGTATTTTTATGGGTTTTTATGTGGTTGTGAACTGTCTAGAGCCGCATTGGTAACACAGGTGCAATCCAATTTAGGGCTGTTATCACATGTTCCATTCCAGGCAGTGACTAAGGTCTCAGCTGGGAATTGAAGCAGAGTGTGAGGAATGATCCCAATTTTCCTTTGAATCCCTACTGGATTAATCTGTCACTGGGAAGGGACCATTTTTTTCCCCCATGAATTGGTATGCAGTGAGTTGAAATAGATATAAATAATATTAGATTATTCAGGATATGGGAAAACTAGATTGTGAAAAATTCCAAAGGAATCTGTTTAAATTGGGTTCATAATTAGCCAGATGACAAATCTGTTTCAGTATAAATAAAAAAATCCATACTGGGGCAAACTAAATTCCATACAATATAAGGTTTGAATGTTTGGGAACTCTTTAGCTTAAAAAAAAAAGATGACCGAGTAAGGATGTGAGCAAGATGTGTAAAAACATGCAGTGCCATGAAAAGAGTGGATAAGGGAAAATTATTCTACTCAAAATTCTATATAGAACTATGGGCCATCCAAGAGAACTGATGGCAAGAAGATTAAGAACAGACAAAAATGCTTATTAATAAAGCATATAATTTATCTGCATAATTGGTTACCGTGATGCTGACATGGTTGCTTGCTTAAAGGGAAATGGAAAAACTCATAGAGGAGAGGTCTGTCGGGCAGAATTAGTTTTGAAGATTTCAGTATTAGATCCAGGTTAGCACTTGTATACCAGCTGGATGGAAACAATAGGGGAAGAGACATATGGCCATCTCCTGTTTGTTAGAGCCCAAACCATCTGGTTCGCCATGTGAGAAACAAAATGTTAGACTAGTTGAGCCTTTGACTGGTCTAACAAGCTGTTCTTTCATTATGTTCTAAAGAGTTTCTGATAGGTGCTGCATCGATGCTTGGAAACAACTTTGGGAATCCCAAACACTGAGTTGATATAGTGCAAGCTACCAATTTGAACTAAAAATAGCTTGGAATATCTGCCCAAGCTACTTTTTCTACAGTTTTGGATTTAGACTGCTTGATATAGAATTGAATAAGATCTATGTTTCCCAGGTTTTGTTCGAAGTAACCCATTCATATTTTTTCTCCTTGGTTACATTTATCTTGTTTTAAAAGTACAACAGACAGCTTTGTAAAAGTAAAGTATAAGCAGTTTGTATTGGTGCTTACATATTCGTTTGCTTTTACAGACTGACTCTTCAGTTTCAGGTGCAGCAGGAACAGCAGCAACACCACCTCCTAAAAAGAAAAGCTTAATTGACCAGTTTTTCAGTATTGAGTTTGAAACTATGTATCCTAAACGTTCTGGAGTAATAAAGCGTGCTTATGGTAATGCAATTAGTATATGTAGGATTTGTTTTATACATTTTACTTACTAAAGGGATAATCTTTATTAAGAGTATACTCTGAAATTGGTAGCTAAATGCTTCTATAAATTATAAAGCTGTTTTTAAAGAAACGTTTATGCTACCAATGAAGAAGAATATTTGTAGCTCAGGGTTGAAATGAGGGGTTGTTGGTACTCTCTGAGCTTGCTTGTTTTCTTGCAAATGTTTCATTACCCTTTATGCTAGCTTATAAAAAAACCCAATAGTTATCTAAAGAACAGGTTAGTGTCATTAAGATGCTGTTATACGAACTGTTGTTTTACTTCCAGAAAGAGACACAAGCGATACTACAAGCAATCCAAGAGGCAAGCCCAACTGCAAGGAAAAACTATGAGGAGATGAAAAATTACATTGATAAAATGAACCAAAAACTTGATAATATAGACTCTCAATTTACAAATTTTAAACAGTTGGTCACAAAAAATGAACATAGGATTCAAAAAATAGAAGATAAATCAACAGAGGTTGACAAAAAAAATAGAAGAATTGATGCAAATAAATGGAGAATTAGAGGACTCAATAGCAGTCATGGAAATGGAAAAGGCTTGTTACTTCTTAAGATTTCAAAACATAATGGAAGACAAGGAAGAGAACCTTGTAGATCTGATAACGGAATTACTGGCTGATGCATTAGAAATCGGGAAACAGGAAATGGAAGGAGAATTAGATCAGATATACCGAGTTAACTCAAATTACGCGAGAAAAAATAAAGTTCCTAGAGAAGTACATGTTAGATTTCTTAAAAAATCTGTAAGAGATGAGATCCTGAGAAGTGTGAGAGATGACCCTTTGAAATATAAAGGAAAAGAAATTGTAGTCCTCAAACAGATCCCTAGGAGAATAAGAGAGTCCCGAAGAGAATATCAATTTTTAATCAGAAAATTAATTGAAAAAGGAGTGAACTTTAGATGGCTGATCCCAAAAGGGATTTTAATTTATTGGAATATGAAAAGATACAGACTGGACACGACACTTAAAGCAATGGAATTCTATGACAACCATAAAGCGTTCATGGAAGGTGGTGAATTTGAATCTGGTACAGCAAGAGAAACAGAGAGGAAGAGATGGTAATAGAAGGAGTAGCCAAACCAAGAGAAGAAGAAGAAACTAAAAATACAAATACAGAAGAAGGGGCAAGACCAAGAGAACAGAGACAGATAAGATCGATTAGAAGATTAAGACCTAAATATAATTGAAAGAGATGGAGAAGAGGAAAAAAAGTTACACGACTACAAAAATTAAAAATAGATATAATTTGTCTCCAAGAAACACATATTAAGAGACAATACTATAAATTGTTGGAACAACCAAAAATTGGCAAACTCCATTTTGCATTAGCACAACAAAAGAAAAGAGGAATAGCTCTATTAAAGAAACAATGAACCCTAAACAAATTTATGCGGATGAAGAGGGAAGAATATTAATGGTGAAAATAATAATGGACCAAAACCAGATACTGATGGTAGCAATATATGCACCAAATGATAAACAAGAATTTAATCAAAAATTACATTAAAAATTGAATTGGAATATCAAAATCTTTGTATAATGGGAGGCTTTAATGCAATAGCAGATGGAACTTTGGACTATAAAAGCACTAAAATAGGGAAGAAAGGAAGAAACATATTACCTTAAACCTTTTCTAAAATGGCAGAAGAAATTTGTATTCAAGACATGGAGAGAAAAAAATCCAAAAAAATTGCAATATACATTTTATTCAAATAGACACAAATCATGGTCTAGAATTGATATGATATGGATGTCCTGAAATTAGCACGATGATACAAGAAGTAGAGATAGAAACTAATACCTGGGCAGATCATAATCCAATAAAGATGACCTGGAAAGAAGCCAAGAAAAAAATCAGATGGTCCCTGAACAAATCTATATTGAAAGAAAAAGAATTTATACAACTAGCGACAAAGGAGATTTACTTTTTTTTCAAAATAAATAAGAAAGAAGATACATCACTTCAAAATGTGTGGGATACAGCTAAAACATTTTAGAGAGCTGGCTATAACTTATACTGCTAAAAAAACAAAGAAAGAAAACAACAACAGTTAAAGTTGAAGGAAGAATTTAGAAAATTAAAACTAAAACTACAAATAGACCCACAAAAGAAAATACTTAAAAATAAATGGAGATAATAAAACATAAACTAAACCTAGTAGAGGCGGAAATAATAGCTCAACAGATTAAAAGGACTAAACAACTTTTTTGAAAATGTCAATAAGTCGGGGAGATGGTTAGCAAATAGACTGAAGAAAGAAAAAGAAAAAACTGATAAATAAGTTGCAAGACCTAAACGGTGAATTACAGTTTCAAAATGACACAATTTTAAAATATTATTAAAGACTTTTACGAGATACTTTACAATGCAAACGAAATTTCAAAAGAAAAAATACAGCAGTACCTAAAAAAAAGCAGATTTACCAAAAATTCCAGAGAATATTTAAAACATATTAAATGAAAAAATATCAATGATGGAGATTACAGAGGCCATAAAAAGACAAAAAAATGACAAGACCCCGGGCCCAGATGGACTACCTGCAGAGCTTTATAAATCCTTGAAAGATATATTAAGCTCAATAATGAAAGAACTGTATTTTGAAATACTTTTGGAGGCTAAAATACCAAATACATGGACAGAAGCTAACATTAGCTTAATACCTAAAGAAGATTCTGACTTGTTGCAAATAAAAAACCAATATCGTTATTAAATGTAGATTATAATTTTTTTGCCTCAATAATAGCAGAAAGACTAAAGAAATTTCTGACTGAATTTATACATATAGACCAAAATAGTTTTCTGCTAAAAGACAAATAAAAAATAACTTAAGAATGATTCTAGATGTTTTGGAGTACTATGAAACTCACCCAGGGAAATAGATGGCATTAATATTTATAGATGCACAGAAGGCGTTTGATAATGTAAATTGGGAATTTATGTTCCAGCAACTAGAGAAATGGACTTTGGAGAAAACTTTATAAACATAATCAAAACAATTTATCATAAACAAACAGCTAAAGTAATTATAAATGGATATTTTATAGAAAATTTTAACATTAAAAAAGACACAAGACAGGGATGTCCAGTATCCCCATTACTATTAATATTAATACTAGAAGTATTGAATAGAAACATCAGGCAAGATATAGAAATTAAAGGACTGGAGATAAAAGATGAAAAATATAAACTACAAGTGTTTGCAGACTTGGTTTTTATATTAGAAGAACCACTTGAAACAAACATCAAGCTTATGGAAAAAATAGAAGAATTTAGAGAAGTGGCAGGGTTGAAAATAAATAGAGAAAAGACTAAAGTGCTAACTAAAAATCTTACAGAAAAATTAAAAAAACCAACTACTAAAAAAACCCCTTCAAATAGTTAAAAAAGTTAAATATTTGGGAATCCATTTAACAGCAAGATGTGCAACAATAAAAGAAGACAACATAAGATTATTAAAACAAATAAAACTAGATCTGGAAAAGTGGAAAAATCTATAACTTTCAATGCCGGGGAGAATAGCAACAGTGAAAATGAATATCTTACCAAAAATACTATTTTTTATTTCAAACAATACCTATAAGATTGGGAAAAACTTTTTTGGATAAACTAAACAGAATAATATTGAAATTGCTGAAAACAGATGAAAAACTGATTACAAACTTTACAAACATTTGTTAAGCTTAAAGATAGAAGATGAACAAGTAAAAGAAACTGATAATATGGGCAAAGAACTTTGGATATAATAGAGAATTAGAAAATTGGCAAAGCTTATGGGAAAAAACTCTAAAATAACGAAAGCGGTGACCTATAAAGAAAACTTATACAAAATGTTTTATAGATGGCATTTTTTTTTATTGAAAATTTTTTTAAATTTTTTTACAAAAAACAAAAAACAACAATACAACAACAAAAAAAAACAAAACCAAACAAAACAATACAACCCTCCCCAAACCACCCACGCCCTCCCCCCCAGAGCTTCCCAGAGCAGAATATAGGCTTAGTTAAAAAAGTTAAAAAGATTATATATATATATATAAAAAATTAACAATAATATATATATATATATATATAAAAATAAAAGTTATAAAAAAGCTAAATGATATTTTTTTATATCCAATTTAAATTGTATAAACTTTATCCATTTATCCCAAACAGCAAAAAATTTCTCTTGCGATTGTTCTTTTAAGAAAGCCGAAATCTTTACCATTTCCGCCAAGTAGGATACTTTAAAAAACCACTCCTGCAAAGTAGGCAAAGATTCCTTCTTCCAGTATTGTCCTACTAGCAACCTTGCGGCTGTGATCAAATTCAA